CAAGGACGAGCTTTTAATGACAATGAAAAGAAAAAAAATTGACAATACAGACACAGTTAGGAGAAGTGACAAGTTACTGGTATAAGCACTAATTACACTGCGCTTAAATATCCGAACCAGTGCCTGAGCCGTGCAGGAGGTCGGAGCCAGACCCGGAGGAAGGTTCTATGGGGCGTTAGGAAGGGGTTTGGTACTTTTCCTGAAGGCATGAGCACTTAGGACGACACACTCTAACCGAGGGGTCTCTAAATACACCACTTCAACAGGAAGAACTTTCCCCAGCACAGCACAATCCAGGCTGCTTCAGTCCGTCCAGCAGCCAGCAGAGGTTTGGGAGAGCTTCCCGCAAGGGGCTGAGCAGCAGTTCTGCTGCAGAGCTTCCCCAGGACATCAGAGGGCTGCGAGGACCCGCCGCGGCTCCGGATAGTTTTTGCCTTTGCTGCGGAGCCCGGCAGCAGCCCCGGTGCCACCAGATGGGGCTGCGAGCCCGAGCAGAGCCGGAATTAACGCAACTGACGCGACCTCGGCACGGCTGTGAGATGCAGGAAGGCCAAGGAGCAGCATTTTCACCAGCAATTAAGGGACAAAAAAAAAAAAACCCCAATCCATCCCAACCCCAAAGTGTAAGTCAATCTAAGAGCGGCACTGCCACTGCTTGTCTTCGGTTGGATACATCCAGCCACGAGAGGGGTTTTACAGGTCCCAAAATGAACTAGTCCAGGTTCTTTATGCTTCAAACACAACTTTGGAGTTGCAGGAATAGAAATATTGGATCTGGTGTTGCTATAACTGCAACTGCAGGCATGAATTTCTTATATTCCTCTTTTTTCCAAGCATATACAAAAATGGCCAAAGCTAACGGCTGTCTTGAAATGTATGATTTGACCTGGCAAGAGATGAAATGAGTAGGCAAATTTACAAAAAAACCACAGGGGTGGGTTTTTTGGAGACAGCAAAGTCCAGGAGGCAGCACAAAGTCCACTCCCCTGGCTGGCAGTGGAGATGTTCTGGTGGCTTTAGGGACACTGCCGTCACCTTCCCGAGGCCTCACCTAGACACACCGGCATTAACGAGGCAACGCTGTGAGCTGAAATTAGTTTGTAGAGGTTAAACATGGAGTTTGCTGGAGGTGCCAGAGCACAGCAGTTGCAGCATTTTGCTTAGAAAGACATCGTGAAGGTCACATCCTGAGTGAGACCCGCGCACCCATCACAACCGGGGTTGGAAATAGAGCAGAAATTTGCTTGTAGGAAGAGGAGAAGGTGGGAGATGCCGTTTGCATTGTCACAGTCCTGCACCCACAGCACCGCGCCACGGGGCACAGCACTGACCCCACCAAGGCAGGGACGGGCAGCGAGGCCGGTGTGGGAACCGGCGTGGAAATATCGACCGAGTGCCTGCGAGAACCCCACGGGACCCACGGCGGGATCAACCTGTGCAACAGGGAACGGTCATTTAGGAGAAACACGGGGGGGAAAGCGTCATTAATTGCATCAAAAATAATTAGTACCAAATATTTCATGCATGAGGGCTGAGGGTCAGTTATTAGCTTAATGAAAAAAACAATCAATCATCGCGTGGGGTGACCGTGGGAAG